GCGCTGGAGCCGCGGGGAAGGGGCGCGGGTGGGTGCGGGGGGTGGAGGCTCCCGCTCGGGGCTGCGCCCTTAAAAGCCGGTAGCAGCTGTGACTCTCGCAGCTTTTCATCTCTTTGCTGTCTTCTAAACTCGCAAAAATAACGCAGAGGCCATTTGTTTTCGTTAAACGCCGACTGCCTTCAGCAAGCCTGAAGGTTTTGGAATAATTAAAGAAACTTTTATGAAACTCTTGCTTCTGGGACTTCCCTGGGTGCTTTATTTAGCCAGTACTCAAGCGGTGCAGGTAAGCAAGGTAGCAATGCTTCCTCCCCTGGTGATGCTCCTTCCTTGGTAGAATACAGCTGTGCCTTTTGGTCCTCACGAAGTCTTGAGTTTGCCTTACGTGGCCTTAAGTTTGCTTAAGATATTCGGAGTGTTTCGTAGCTCATGTGGAGCAATGTTCTGCACATCCTTCTAAACCAGACGTGCTCTGAAGGAAAGGAGTCTAAACACTTCCAGTACCTGCCTTTGAGCGGCATCTCTGCGAGTGGGAATTTCACCCCCTCACAGAAAGCACCCAGTTCTCATTTTCATAGTCTAATCCCTATACTACCATACTGCACTTAGGCAAATCTCTCCTATTACTGTTTTGTTTTCTTCAAAAGACAGTGCATTTTTTGCTCATGTTTCTGTGTATCAAATGTAAATGAAGCCCCACAAGAAATTAAACAGAAGGATGCTCTTGGTTTTCCACATGATCTGTCCTAAACTGAGAGGATTTGAGTTGCTGGGGCCAGGCAGGTCTGGTCGTGCACAGAAGCAGAGCTCTTGACACCTCCAGGAACCTTAAATGAAGACCCCTAACGGGTGTAAGTACCTCCAGCACGAGGTAGAAGCAGCTGATGGAAGACAGTCGTGGACTCGGACTGTTCCATCTAAATCATGCGTTAGGTAGCTAACGTACAGGTCAAAGTCCTAGACTCTAAACTTATAAACTCTTTAGATTAGCCAAGGATTCATCTTCCTTTGCTTCTCTTTAACGTTTTTAGTGATAGATAAAAAAGCAATACATGTGTGGAGGAGGAGAGTCTCTACTGAAAGCTCTCCAGAAAAAGACACTGAGAAGATCTGTAGCTGAAATAACTACTCTATGGGGATATTTGCTTTCTTGTTTTGATTTATTCCTTTTCCTTTCTAGGCTAATTAAACACTCGGTGTCCATAACTGCAATTATTCTAGTTCTTTTCAATCCTGGTGTCCCCTAGGGCACAACAAAGGACTTTCCAGAAGTTATGCAAAAGGCCTAACATATTGATGTGTGTGATGGCATTCATAGAAATAGTGATTATTGTCTAATCTTCCATTTTTTTGTTTCTTTAGACTATACATTTTAATACTGAAAACAGAATTAGCTGATGTTCGAGTATGTGCATCGTATAACTCTACCCACAGACTAGTGGTCTGAAAGGTACAGGAAACCTCATCACCTAGATAAGGCAGTTCTTTCCCTGCTTAAACCAAGTACAGTTTTCACTGGATCCTTGCTGCAGTCTCAAGCCATGGAAATGCTTTGCATGATTACTTTTAGGAATGTTACATTCTCATAAGCTTCTTAAATTTAGAATTGTGTCAGCTGACACTAGTGTTAACAGACGAGAAATGTTACTTGCTGCAGTGGCACTAGCTGTTGGGGATGCTTCTGTACGTATGCATATTATTAGTGAATAAGGGAAAATCCAAGCTGAGCAGTTGTCTAGATTCTACAATATATGTTGTTTCCTCCCTAAATGTTTTTATTGCAGCAATGTCACTTTTCTGTTTCTTATTTTTCATATAGAATCATTTGCTTTGGTTACTTTTATTAAAGCAGAAAATATTTTGCAACTTAACTTATTAATAGAAAATTATCAAGGAAACTTGATGTTAATGCCTAAGCGATGTGCTGTTGAATGTTTTCTATTATCACATTTTCTAGTTTTACTGTGACTTTTAAATCTTTTTTTTCCCCCGTTACACATTATTTTAGGCTGGATGAAGCAGCAGTGAAGGTGGAGGAGGGGAGGAGCATGCAGCAACCACACACCATGGGATATGGAGAGTGTGCTCCATGCCCTGGTGGTAACACAGCTATGACGGCTCATGTCTCCCCTGCCATTTCCCTGGCTGGTGCTGCGCGTTCTGCCATGTGATCGCGAAGCTAATTCCCTCGTGATCGTCATGTGTCTTTCTGCTCCCTTTGATCCATCAATGCAATGAACCTTTCTGTGACTTTGCCTCTCTCTGTGTTTATGAGTATTTCTTCAGATGCCACACCAAGGAGCAAAACTCTGCCTCCAAACAGTCATTAAGAGCACTGAAATATCCTACTTGAAGTGTCTACCAAGGCAAATTTCTCTAACAGATAACCGAAATTAATTACCTAGACAATTATGACACTGGTACTAATGGGAAAGCTTATGTTTTAAGCTTGCAGAACAGCAAAAGAGAGAGCTGTAGTTCTCTGTAAAACATTTTATACATCTATTACGTGCATTACTTGTTTAGTCTTCTATTAATGTGTGGGGTTTTTTCCCCTCTGCTTAAAAAGAATCTTTAAAAATCCTATTTCCTAATCCTGTGAGTGTTTTATTATTATTGTAGCAATGTATGTAAAATTATAGTCTAAAATATTTCAATGAAGGAACTCTTAAATAACTTGATAATGGATAATAAAATACTATTCAAAACATTTTTCTGTGTACTTTTAAGATTAGTGTGCAAACTACTTTATCGTAATTCCTTAGCGTGTATCTATTTCTTAATTATGTTAAAGAATATTGGTTACTCACTCTCTTTGTACTGTGAAGTGCAGCAGAACCTTCCTGATGAATTGCATCTATTTACTTTTGTACACTGAACGTGAAAGGTTGTTTCAATGTGAATATACCTGAAAACTTGTACTTAACATAATTATATGTATGTACGTACTAAAGGAGCACTGTCTAGTTATCATTAAAATCAGCAAAGGTAACATTCAGTTTGCTTATAACCACTTTGTTTCGGAACACAGCACCACCACATCTGTCACCAGGTGATGCACACAGCAAATTCTGACACTAGAAAAAGAAAGAAAAAGCAAGCAAAATTATTTGTTCTTGGTTGAAAGCATCCTATATTACACCTATTTGCAGCCAGTACGCTTACCTGCTCATCTATATTTATTTGAATGGAAAATCTAAAAGTATCTCATTACTACACGCAACAAAGATTTATTTACACAGGAAACAAAATGCTTTGTCAAAGCTTCTCCTGCATCATTCAGATCCTGATTTTTTTAATTCTGCAGCAAGTGTAACAGGCAGATTTGGCTGCTCTTCAGTTATCTGGACTGAAATTTTGATAGTCCGCGTTCTAGTTGATCTTTCCCCCTTTGACTTTCCAAGAAGTCTTAAATGTATGACTGGCCAGGCTCAGATTTATCAACTTTGCCTGAGAACTGAATTTGACTGAAAAGAACAAAAAATTAATTCCAAGCAACTTGAAATAAATCACTGTTCCCTGCTGTGCAGCCAGAACCTCTGGGTTCTACCCCTCTTCTTTGGCACTGTGGTCAGTCAAATGCATCTGGAGAACAGACGAGAGGGTCAGGACTCCTTGCACAGTCTCACCTAGAGAGTCACATTAATTCTCCAGTCTGTAAGAATCCCCAGTGTTTTACTCCTCTAGGAATTCTTTGTGGGTTCAGTCCTCCTGACCCTGCCTAATGCCTTTTGAGGTGCCCTGGAGCATCCTGTTGGGCCTTCAGCTGCTGTTCCAGGATTACCCTCGTCTTCTGCACATTTTGCATCACACCAACCAACCCCCTGCAGATGTCTGGGATTCCTTAGGGCATCCCGAATGGCACAAGACTTCTATGTGTGGACAAGTGAATTCAGCTTTAAATGTCTAGTAATAGCCAGTGGCCGTCTAAGTAATTAGACAGTGGAACCTACAAATGACTGAGCTCACACCGAAGAAGACACCTAGTGGCTACTGCTCTACGTTGCTCCTCAGGCTTCATTAACTGCATTTACTAGGGCTGAGATTCATCTGCCTGAGCTGCCAGTGCCACTTGAGATGTCCTTGCGCATCCTGCCTGACCTCCAGCTCATGCTGCAGAAGGGCATGGGCTTTCCATAGGTCTTGTGTCAGACCCATCTAGGTGTCCTGGATACCATACGGCATCTCAAATGCCACTAGATAACCCACATTTAAGCAAGTGAAGCCTTAGCTCTCTGAAATGGGAGCTTAGACACCTAGCACCCACGTAGACACCTATATTTAGGTGTGTTAATCTCCCATGAATCCCAGCTACAACACCCTTTAATATGAACTAGAGTAGAGCCCTTTCTAGTCATGGTGTTGGTCTCATCATTGTTGAAATACATCATAGAATCATAGAATTGTTAAGGTGGGAAAAGACCCTTAAGATCATTGAGTCCAACCGTTAACCTAATACCGCCAAGGCCACCACTAAACCATGTCCTCGAGCACCACATCTACATGTCTTTTAAATACCTCCAGGGATGGGGACTCAACCACTTCCCTCAGCAGCCTGGTCCAATGCCTAACTACCCTTTCAGTGAAGAAATTTTTCCTAATATCCAACCTAAACTTCCCCTGGCGCAGCTTGAGGCCGCTTCCTCTCGTCCTATCGCTTGCTACTAGGGAGAAGAGACCGACCCCCACCTCGCTACAACCTCCTTTCAGGTAGTTGTAGAGAGCAATAACGTCTCCCCTGAGCCTCCTTTTCTCTAGACTAAACAACCCCAGCTCCCTCAGCCACTCCTCATAAGCCTTGTGCTCCAGACCCTTCACCAACTTCGTTGCCCTTCTCTGAACACGCTCCAGCACCTCGATGTCCTTCTTGTAGTGAGGGGCCCAAAACTGAACATAGTGTTCGAGGTGCGGCCTCACGGCCCCCCGGGCCCCCCTGCGGTCTCATTTCCAGCGGGCTGTTGCCCCCCCCCCCCAGCCCCTTTCCCCCCGGCCACCCCCCCAGCCACTCCTCCCCAAGCCCGTAGCGTTGCATGGGGTTGTTGTGACCGAAGTGCAGGACCCGGCACTGAGCCTTGCTGAGCCTCATACAGTTGGCCCCGGCCCATCGATCCAGCCTGTCCAGGTCCCTCTGTAGGGCCTTCCTACCCTCCAGCAGATCAACACTTCCACCCAATTTGGTGTCATCTGCAAACTTACTGAGGGTGCACTCAATCCCCTCATCCACATCATCGATAAAGATATTGAACAGGACCAGCCCCAACACTGAGCCCTGGGGAACACCACTCGTGACCGGCCGCCAACTGGATTTGACTCCATTCACCACCACTCTCTGGGCTCGGCCGTCCAGCCAGTTTTTAACCCAGCGCAGGGTGCACTTATCCAAGCCATGAGCAGCCAGCTTCTCTAGGAGAATGCTGTGGGAGACACCAGGGAACACCATACATAAGACTTATTTGAAACAGCTTCAGCTTGCATCTTGTACTGGACTTACCTATCGTTATGGTAAGTATTTGGGTTTGGTTTTCATTGTTTCTTGAGGATGTATATAGATCAGATATACATAATTTTGATCCTTGCCATTGCTCTTTTAAGTTAAAAGTAGCAATGGTCTGACTTTTGCATGTCCGTACTTGTTTAAACGGTGCTGCTACAAAGCAATAAAAAGGTATCTTTTTACATTTGCTGGCAAGGTTCTGATCACCCAAATCCTGGATTCATTGTTTTCCGTAGATAATGGACATGGGTTTGCTGTAGGGTGAGAAGATTAACCTCCTCCACCAAGCCTGGGAAAGCAACGCCTGCCTTCCTGATTCAACCTTAAGGCCCTCGGGAACGGCACCGCAGCCCGCCCCACGGCCAGGCAGGGGTCTCCGTGTCTGGATGTTGTAAGAGGGGTCTTGCCTACCAAGGAGGAGAGCGTCCGGCTGCGCGGCGCACACGGCCGCCCCTGTCACCCCCTGTCCCCGCGAATTTCAACGGCCTCTTGCACAGGCGCTGTTTGAACGCTAGAAATGAACGCCCGGGCAAGCTGCTGGCAGCCAAGTTGTGTGGCGCCGGCAAAGCTTGCCTTCTCACGGATTTGCTGCCAGAGGGATTTGCTTCTTCCCGACGAGAGGGAGGGGGCGAGAGCCGCCGCCACCCGCGGTGCCCCAGCCGCCGCGCAGCAGCGCGGGCCCGGGGG